CACAATCAATAACACCAACAGAGCTAACACACACACACACACAACATACTACTATATATATATATATATATATGTATATATATATTGAAAATTTTTGGCACATACAAGTATGGATACCTATGAATGATCACACTATGAATATATTCAAACACACAAATATGTTTATATATAGATGGAATTCAAATATAGACGCAAATCTGTACATTGAGAAAACCAACATTTATACACATCCTCTCGAATCTCCCATCACCGGCTTGACACCATAGTCAGCAAGCTCACAGTATCAACCACACACCTGACCATCGGGCGATATAAGATTCAACGGGGCGCGGGTGTAGTCCGGTGTTAGCGAACGCACGGCCTTGGAGATGGTCTCGATATTTGGGCCGCGGAATGGGTACACCCCCACCAAGAGGACCATCATGGTCACTCCCATGGCCCACAAGTCCACTTTGGTATCGTACGGTTTGTTCTCATACATCTCCGGCGAGATGTAGAGGGGGGTGCCGCACACACCTCGCAGTTTCATATCTGTGGCCAAGGCGATTGGAGTCAGCTTATTGTATTGATAGACCATACAGAGTTGTCATAACCATCCATATGCATAGACAAGTGTATGTAGCGCTGTGGGCGTGAAGTATTGAGGACCCTGATATCCGGTAAGTTATTTTTCATGTCCAACAGTATTTGTGTGTCATAATTCCCTCCCCCATGCGCAGTGTAGCCTGACTAACATAGCTCTGTGCATACGCTATATGAGAGGTAGACGAGGGTGTACAGACCGCCTGGGGTTGTCCCAGCCCATCCTTAATCGCTTGCCCTATTCCATACCATCGACTGCCATCTCCAGACGCGTCCCAGTGGACTGATCCACATCTGATCTGACTTATACACATGCTAGCTAAGCGTTCGTCATTACCGTGCAGAATGGCATAAAAAACTAGGCTATTTTTAGTGTTTTAGCTAAAACCCTAAACCCTCTCGAAGCACATGCATGCATGAACCCGATGTGTGTTTGCCCATGTGCTGTGATATCGCACACAACCTGTCCGATCCTCAACGAATACAATCTGTATCTACGTCAATGCCACAAAACAAGTGCACATACCACATGGACAGACCCTGCATGTGGAACAAAACACGTGTATATACCAACCTACCCCAAACACGTGTATGTACCAACCTACCCCAAACACGTAT